AAGCACTGAAATAGGGAAAAAACTGGGACATAGCCAATTCTCCAAAACTGTTTAAAGATAGAATAAGAAAAGCCTATCCGTGGAAGAACCAACAGAATTTAAAGATGAAAGTTTTAAGGATGCCTGGGTGGCTCAGTGGTTGAGCATCTGCCTTTGGCTCAGGGTGCGTGATCCCGGAGTCCTGGGCTCCCGCAGGAAGCCATTTCTCCTTCTCCCTCTGTCTATGTCTCTGCCTCTCTGTGTCTCTCATGAATAAATAAAATCTTTTTAAAAAAAAATGAAAGCTTTGGGATCCCTGGGTGGCGCAGCGGTTTAGCGCCTGCCTTTGGCCCAGGGCGTGATCCTGGAGACCCAGGATCGAGTCCCATGTCAGGCTCCCGGTGCATGGAGCCTGCTTCTCCCTCTGCCTGTGTTTCTGCCTCTCTCTCTCTCTCTCTGTGTGACTATCATAAATAAATAAAAATTAAAAAAAATTCTTTAAAAAAATGAAAGCTTTGTTATTTATCTTCATAAACATCTCATTAATAAAAAGTAAGCTACAGAGATCCCAAGATGATATTGCACTGGTAACACTGCTAAAAGGAGTAGGAAACCATAACTCTTGCTTATAAAAAGCACAAAAAAGACCAAGAACCTGGAGGTCCATCTTGATGTTGCATCTTATTTTTTTTTTTTAAGATTTTATTTATTTATTCATGAGAGACACACAGAGAGGCAGAGACACAGGCAGAGGGAGAAGCAGGCTCCATGCAGGGAGCCCAATGTGGGACTCGATCCCGAGATTCCAGGATCACGCCCTGGGCCGAAGGCAGGCGCTAAACCGCTGAGCCACCCAGGGATCCCCGATGTTGCATCTTAAAATAATCATGCTTCAAGACTATACTTTCAGGGATCATTTCTATAGTTTGTTAAAATAATCATGCTTTAGCTTTTCATTAGAATTCATGATGCTTTTAGGGGTGCTTGGGTGACTCAGTTGAGCATCTGCTTTCAGCTCAGGTCATGATCCCAGGGTCCTAGGCTTGAGTCCTGCATCAGGCTCCCTGCAGAGTGAGCCTGACTCTCCCTCTGCCTCCCTTTCTCTCTCTCATGAATGAATAAATAAAACCTTAAAAGAAAAAAAGGAATTAATGATGCTTTTGGTGCTGGCAGTATTTATTTTGAAATCTGGGTTTCTGAAAATTAAAGAACCTAAAGCATATATACACAGTGACATATCCTTTTTCTTACTTGCTCATGCTTTGTTTTTATAATTTAAGTCATTATGTGCTCACTAGATATTTACCTGTTTAACAGCCATTAAAGTTCCAGTTCCCACATCCTGAGCCTGGTAACAAGAAGAAAATGCTCCAAGGCCTATCTGCTGACCTTTCAGCCATTCAGTGTCTTCTCTGTAAGGTTGTTTTGCTTTGGTATGTCCTGGTAGAGTTTCCGGTGTCTACATATTAAATGAAAGCAATCTTTTTACTGTTAAGTTAAAAGAGGAAGAGTTTGTAAAATTAGTCTGGCAAAGTATTATTCTTGTTCAGTCTGGCTTCCCAAACCACCTATAAAGTTCTGAAGGGACAGTGCTGGTGACCAGTGTCAAAAGCAGAAGTGATCACCATTACAGAATCATTCAGAAATGCCTTTGAAATAGGCAAGGAGTGTTTGTGGTAAAGTAACGATACAAAACTCTCGTATAATTCCATGTGAAAAACTGCTTCTAATGATTAACTCATGTGAAAAGCATCATTTCTGAATTAGATTTCTTTTAGCTTGCTCCAAGGAAATTCTCTAATCTCTTCAAGACTATACTTACATCCTGTTGAATAATGATGATATCTTCTCCATTTTCAACCTGTAGTTGAGGAACTATGGGGAGGGCATCCTGAGACGCTGACATTGCCATGGCAATTGCTAAAGCTTCTTCTTCTTCAGCTTCCATCTTTTCTTTGCATTTCTGATTATGATTCACATCATCTTTGTAGGTATCATCATTTTCATCCTTTTCAGGAGAGAGGACAGCAACTTCTGACTTAAAAGTTACTGTCGTGTCACTTGAAGGCATGGATGCTTCAAGAAGGTCCTCAATACTGGAGTTGAGTTCTGTGTTGACATCTAACCTGCATTTCTCTTCTACTGGGGTGAACACTGTCTCATCACTGGGTATAAGAGCATTACTACTATTGCTGCTGCTGCCAAAGCTGTCATCACATTTGGAAGTACTGTTCAGATCAAGTGTCATGCTATTCTTTGAGGCATCTCCCTGTTTACTTGTATTACCTGGGGTAGGTCGAGATGGCTTTGGCCTGTGTATATTACTAGAGGGCAGGGGTCTTGATTGAGTAAAAATGGGGGAAAGTTTATCTGAGTCTCTGTTTTCGGAACAGTTTCTCTGGAACTGTAGAGAAAACTTGCGCTGTGTTTGAGGAGATGCAGAAGGTATTTTGCAGGGAGTGAATCCCTGAGGTCTATGCTTAGAGACATCTGTTCCAGTGCCAGGTGGTGCAGATGGGGCAGATGAAGGAGGAGTTGACAAGGGTGGAAACATTAACGGGGAATGATGAGATAAAGGAGAGGAGTTCAAACACTGACTGTGCGGTCTGCCTTTTGTTTGAACCATTGGCTTTGGTTGCTCCATTGTTGAACTGGGAAGTCCTACGGAAATGCTGCCCAGTCTGTCAGTAATGTCCTCTGAATTGGCACTCAGTTTTGTAGCACACAGTCCTTTTCCAGTTTTCTCTAAATGGTCTGTACGCTCAAGGGGGCTGTTCTCTGTGGCTTCTGAATAGCTGGTGGGGACAGATGCCTGCAAAAAGCTGTCATGTCGATCATCCAAAGTGTCTCCTATGCCCAGATGGATGGCCTCAGCAATTTCCACCTCATCTGCAATAGCCATCAAACGACGACGCATCCTGGTAAAATGAGTGGAACTGGAAACATTCAGCATTTCTAATAGTTTTGAAAATACGTGGGGTACTGCAGTAACCATTCTTGCAGAACTCAAATATATCCTTCGGGAGAGTTTACCAACCATTGAGTGGGAATTATCAATGGACTGCAAAGCAAAAGTTAAGAGGGACAGCAGCTTTTTATACCTGAAAGAAAAAAAACACATTCAATTACTAGACAAGTCAAAATTACTGCAAAATGTACGCACATAAAAAGAAGGTACTACTTTAAAGCGTATACATTTAAAAATGTCATTTCAGAACAAAGGATTGATAATTTTTTGGGGAGGATCTATAAATTTTTAATTAGCCTAGACTTGAGGTTTTTATGTCAATTGAAGATTAAGGTATTAGTAACTTATATATGCTCTGTAGTTTGAGTCTTTCATAAATCTAATGTGTCTTTCTTAGGGGGTAGGGATGGGGCAGGAAGGAAGAACAAAGTAATCTATTTGCAGAAGAAAAATTACCTGACTTCAACAGGCTCAGCTTGTGAAACATCAGGACTGACAATATGAGGGTAAAATTCAGCAGGAAATTCCAACAGTAGTCTGTCTACAAGACAAAGGCGGCCCAGAAGTTCTTGCCAGTTGTTTGACTCCGTTTGGTTTCCAAGAATACAACTTAAGACGTAATCAACGCCACCAATACCAATGGATCCTATGAAAAGGAAAGTTAAAATAACTGAAAAACAGTAATATTAAAATCTAAAACAGGGACGCCTGTGTGGCTCAGCAGTTAAGCACCTGCCTTCAGCCCAGGGTATGATCCTGGAGTCCCAGGATCAAGTCCTGCATCAGGCTCCCTGCATGGAGCCTGCTTCTCTCTCTGCGTCTCTCATGAATAAATAAATAAAATCTAAAACAAAACATCAAAAGAGCATAATGCCAAGAATAATACTCTAATTACATTTATTTTAAGATTTCCTTAGGGGTGCCTGGGTGGTTCAGTCAGTTAAGCATCCTACTCTTGATTTCAGCTCAGGTCATGGTCTCAGGGTCCTGGGATCAAGCCCTGTGTTTGGCTTTGCATTCAGTGGGGAGTCTGCTCCCTCTCCTGCTGCCCTTCCCTCTATATGCATGTACACACATGTGCGCACGTGCCCTCCCCCCCCAGATTAAATGAATCTTTTAAAAAAGAACTTCTTTGGTTAATTCATATTTCTACTGTTAGGTGACTAAATCCATTTACACAATTACTCCAAAGTCCTGTATACAACTGCCCTATCAGAGATTATAGGATTCGATAGTCAGCTAAGGAAAATGGTAAGACCTGCTATATTAAGTAAAAAGTTATTACCAGCTTTAAGTATTTCTCTGCCAACTGCCAACTCTCCTGCTTGGCCTTTGCATAATTCCAACAGTGTTGATATAGACAGCTGACTTGTACGACTAAAAATGAAAGAAGCAACGTCAGACTTGGATCTTGGATAAAATACACATTAAAAGGACAATACTAATGTGATGCTATGTGTAAAAGTGGGAAAAAAAGTTTCCACAGGTATTTGTTTTTCCATCACTAAAATTACATTAACAATGTCCCTACAAATAATTGTATTCATTATTTAGGGTCTAATTACATAAATTTTATCTGTGTTAAACACAGAATCTTTAGCAGTGGCTCTTAGAAAACAAATACTGATATCAAAATAAACCAGATGAAAGGCATATTTTGATTAATTCATTTAAAATAAGGCTCATTTTAATTTCTGAATTTTCAGTAAGAGTCTCTTACATTAAAAACAATACCTTCCCATCCAAAACTTTATATTCTCTTAAATAGCCAGAGTGAGTTCCAAATACTTTAAAATCTCTTTACTCTTTTTTATAATGTTCCGTCATTGAAGTGACCAGGTAAACAACCTAATTTTAGCATTTCAGAAAGCCCACAATACAACAAATGTCACAAAAGCAGTGATGTTCTCAGAAAAATATGTACTCTAATACTGAAAAACTATAATTTTTCTATGCATCTTGCAAATTATTTGATAATTTGCTTAATGTTGTTCAGGTATTATAGTATTCTCTCTAAATAAGATAATTTCTAATACTTTCAATCCATCCATAGGCTTGAGTAGAGAAAACAGTGGAGACAAACTTCATGAAATGAGAAGTCAAATCTAAGCACCTAGGTTTTGAGACTGGCTACACACCTACAATGTACATCGTGTGACTGAGCAAGTTCCAAATGAATGTAATGGCAGGGGCACAACAATGGCGGTTCAGTGCGGCCTCTCCTGTCAGATGGGCAGGATGTGAAGTGGTGAGAATGCCCGACAACTGACAACCTTTGGCGGGAGCTGTCCTCATTAAATGACAACCTTTGGCGGGAGCTGTCCTCATTAAATGAATAGTGAACAAACCAGTGGTCCCACTGAAGCAGAGTTTGAGCTTATTTTCACTACAATTGTGCCTCACTTCTCTACCTTATTGTTTTTACCCCTCTAGTTAGCATTATTCTTGTTCCTTGTCAGTTTTGGAGGATGTTGCACAGATATATGCAATTTGTTGCTGGTTTTTTTTTTAGCATAAACTGTCAGTAAACACAGCAAATATGGAATGGTTTGGTTTTTTAAGCAGGTGTAATGATTTTATTGGTTCCTATCCTGTGTAACTCATTCTCTAAAATGAGATTATGTATATAATAGCTATTGTTCTTTCATCTGGATTTGAGATTAAGAAATATTATTTTAAAATAAAAGAAAATCACAACACAAAAATATGGTTATCCATGCAGTTTGTTAGCCTGGTTTTTACTTGCCATCAGTACTTCTCCCTAGTGTTCAACAGCTTTAAGTATTATATTTTAATTTCAAATCTCATGTTAGAAAACAATATTCAGAGCCTCATTTAATAAACATGTATCAAATACTCACCAGGTGTGAGGCTTGTTGCTAGGCTTTTAATATAAGAGGGTATGAAGTAGTTCATCTAGGGCCTTACCTATTGGCATCTGCACACTTGACTAGGATGGTGTCTACCACTGGCCGGAGAAGTCTCTGCAGTTTGATTCTTTCTGCCAAACTATGGCAAGGAGTATATACTAGCATGGCTCTCAATGTTTTCTGGGAGGAAAAAAACTGAAGGTCAGTTTAACTGCATTTGAGAAACATCAGAGACCCTGGCAAAATCTGAGATAATTTAATAAAATAATGACAGGAAAGGATTATAACCCACAAATAAAAAAATCCATGAATCTATACTGATAACAAAACATGAGGTAGAAAGCAGCTCTCTGAACTACTACTGCTATTTTTGAAGTATGAATTTCAAAGTAAGTTAAAAAAAAGCTTCCAGTGGCCAAAGCTGGAATAATATAAGCAACAAATTAAATGATGATAGTCCTGGATTATAATCCATAGGTGAAAATAAATACCCATTAGCCTATATTGATTAGAAATTTAAAAACTGAATAAAAAAATAAAAACTGAATAAATACATAAATAGAGAAGAGACAGCTCCTCTTTATAGAAGAATTCCAATAAATTTAGAAGGAATGAGGGAAACAGAAAATCACCACTGAACACCACAATAATAACTGGACCCACTGACAAATGCTAACATCAATGGGCAAAAAAGAGAAATAGGGTATTTGCTTAGTCTCAAAGTATTTCTCCCAAGACATTTATTAACCGTAATTTTATAGCAAGAAACACAATAGCCATCACCTTGACCAAGTGATAAATGACGGCATCACCAATAATAAGACAGTAATATCATGTACCCTTGATAGAGTGCACTAATAATGGCACATCATCTCTGGTATTCTTACAAAAAATGCATAAACTCAATCAAATTATGAGAAAATACCAAACCAAAAATGAGGGACATTCTTCAACATAAGTGGCCAGCACATTTCAAGTGTCAAGATCTATGTAAGATGAGGGAAGACTGAGGAACTGTCACAGATGGAAAGAGATTAAGGGAACATGACAACTAAATGCAATGTGAGTGTCTAGACTGGACGCTAAAATAGAAAACAGACATTAATGAGAGAACTGGTGAAAACTGAGTAAAATCTGCGACTTAGCTGTAAAAGACACGGTTGCAACAACTGGGGATATATGAATATGGACTTTATAAGTACATAAGAGTATTGTTATTAATGCTAAATTTCATGAGTCTGCTGATTGCATTGTGATTATACAGAAGAATGTATTTGTTAAGAGATATATGCTAAAATATTTAAGGTGAAATGTCATGTCATGACTCCTTTAACTCTCAGTGGTTCAGCGAAGAATTATATATGGTGAGGGAGGGGAAAGGGAAAAGAGGAAGGACAAAAAGGAGAGGAGAAAGAGAATGGAGAGCTTTAAGAGAAGGAGCCATTTCTGCCTCCATTATGCGTGGCACACTAATTATAGAGGAATCAGAATACAGTAGGATTCTCAGAGTCCCTTCACCCCACAGCTCACAAACTAGATGGGAAAGCATCTGAACTTAAGAAGAAAACCCGACAGTAAGGCAGTACATTGAACAGTCAAGTGTGTCTGAAGGTTTGTGTTGGAAAACAGTAACAAGAACAGGTCAAAAGTTGGGCCCAAAACATTGGTCTTTACAGTATGCTGGTCCCTGGATATTCTACATGAAAAAACAGACCACGGTAAAGATAGATTTGGGAAATAATGCATTCTACCTCTTGCTCTTATAAATTCCTAATGTACATTAGCTTATTGAAGGTTCCTGGGAGCCTTGCAGTGAACAGACTCACTGAACTTCTATAATTCAATGTTCATCAGTTTTAACTCAGAACTTTCTTCAGGGAACTTTTCATAATCCTGCCAAACTGCCATGAAATATACTTTTGGAAGTGCTGCTAAAGCAAGCAAATCCTTTAAAGGTTTCTAAGCTAGGAAATAATCAAAGTGGTCTTTAAGGAGGTAATATTTTCATTATTTTTATAGGTGAGAAAGCTGAAATTTAAAGAGTCCTGAAGTCACACTGCTAGCAAATGGAAGAACCAGAATTTGAATTAAGGTCTCTATAATCTTGACCTTATGTTCAGACTGCCTAGGCTAGTCCTAGTTTAACTAGCAGATTATTCAAGTATCTCAGGATGATAAATTATGAGATCACTCAGTTCTAACTCCAAATTCATGTTCATAACCATCAGGCTATGCATTAGCATAGTTGCTAGAGAATGGATTAGAAAAAGCCAGAATAAGCAGAGAGATTAAGGAGTTTTAAAAAGTGACTAGGTAAGAATGGTTCTAAAGCAGTGGTTGTGAACTGGGGCAATTTTGACCCTCAGTGGACACTCAGCAATGCCTAGACACATTCTTGGTTGACATGAAGGGGATGGGAGGAAGAAGAGATGTTTGCTGCTGGTATCTAGTGGGTAGAGACCAGGGATGCTGCTAAACATCCTACAGTACACAAGACAGTACTCTTGCCCCCAACAAATAATTATCTGGCTCAATGTCAATAGAGCTAAGATTGAAAAACCCTATCTTAAGATATGGATACTCAGAATGGAGAAAGTCAAATTAGCCTCAAAAATTGCAAATTAAACAACCTCTTCATCATTCCATCCCACTCATGAAAGACAACTTCTAATAGCTTCAACTAGAAAAACTCAGTCATCTATGTCATGAAGCCCTCCTCTGTGAAAAGGATTCTGAATTTCTGTACAATGTTTATTAATAACCAGTTCTCCTTAATGTCTAACTAATAGAAAATTTTTTAAAAATCAAAGTAACTACAATCACTTGGTATCCCATAAAGTGTTTTTAATTTGACCATGTGTAAGGTGTAAGGAAAATTTAAAGAGATGACAAGCAAGACATGGCTATTTTAGGGGAAAAAAGTAAACAGTGTATAAGAAAACCTTAATAGATTAAAACCTGAATAGATTAAAACAAGTAAAATGCGAATGAAGAGATTAACGGAAAATTGCAATTTCTTGGGATTATGGAATAAAAATTTGGATTTTCCAAAATTAAATCAGGTAAAGGAAGTTTCATTGCATCTTAAGAGTGATATCTACAAGCTCTAAAAAAACCACCCATAATGCTTTAGTTATGTAATAAAGCTACTTACTAAAGCAGCAACGTACACTTTGTAGACAGGGTCAGCACAGACCATTGACAAAACGTTGCAGCATGCCTCTACCACGTCTCCTGAGATACTGGTCTGGGAAGACCCACTGCTGGCTCCAGCACTTGGACTGCTTCTACCGTTGCTCCCAGAGTTTCCAGTGCTCTCCCCATTTGCCAAGAGCAAAGCCCCACTAACATCATGTGAAAGACGCCTGAGAGCCATCTCTCTTACATTCCAGTTTTTAGAAAATAAGCAGCCAACAAGTTCCATTCCAAATACCTATAATCAAACAAACACAATAAATTCAATGTGGAGAAAAACTAATGAACCTAAAGTATTTGGGAATAAACATGATTTTTTATTATGAAAGGAAACTTGTGGACATTTCTCAAATTTTCACCAATCTTACAGTTTCAAATATGTCCAGCCACTTAAAATTCATATATATTTATATATGCTTCTGTACTCCTATGCTTATGACAAAAAAAAAAATCTATGAAGTATCCAAACTTTGTATTAAGGTAGTTACAGAGAAGAAACTGAAGCAAGATAAAGCCAGACCAAAAAAGGCACTGTAGTGTCCAAGAGAGTATTTCTCCTCTAGATGACAACAGTTAAGTCAAAAACTTTTAATGTGCTTTTTGTCTTGTAGAAAAAGGTTAAAGAAAAACACTCAACAAAATAGAACTATTATAAATGGAGTGGAAAAATCTAAAGACAAAAGAAAAAAACTCTTGTGTTCAAATCCGCAAAGAATAGTGATATGCCTATAATTATGTCATTACAGTCATCATTACCATGCCTGCAATGCCAGAGTCCCTAAATCAAGGAAAGGATACATGGTCTTGACATTATGGGCTCATTAGCTAAAAGTAAACTTAATACCCTACATAACTTATATGAAAAATTTCTGAATTTTAGAGATGAATAAACACAATTTTAGGAAAAACGAATGATAATTTATTTAAATGTGTTCTAAGGTGATAGTAAAGGAGAATAAGTCAACTAGAATACAGTCAACTTGTTATATATGGCTGGCACTCATTGTTAAATAGCATACCATAATCTAAGGCTTAATTCTGTCTTGTATCGCATCAATAAAAAAACAAGGAGTATATAGGCACAGTCCAACCTAAAGCTTAAGCAAAAGTGATTATACCACTACCTTGAAAGATAGCATCCAATAGTTAAGTATCAACTTGAAAGTTCTCTTGAGGACTCCTGAAGGGGCAGGTGAGGACTTACGTTTAGTACCATTAGTGAACCAGATAAAAGAAATTATTTGTGTTTATTAAGTTTGCAGATTTTATTAGATTCATAACACATTACTGAGAAAAGAGAATTCAAAAGCTACAGGAAGATACAAATCATAAAAAGAAAAAGGAAACAAATCCTTATGATATACAAGCTGAGTCAGTGTCTCTGTTTACAAATTTAGCAGTACTGAACAGAATTTAACAGATTACTGAAAATATTTTACTTCACTATTGTTTATTGGAGAGACTGGTTTGAGATTCTACATTTTTAAAAATAATAGACAAAGTAGGCAACAACAAAGAAAATCATTAGAGTCCCACCAATCCACCAAAAAAAATTCCAATTTACTGTGGAAGAAAAAGCATTTCATCAGAAGAGAAAGTGAAGGAACAGAAACTGCCCTTACAAATAAAAATGGCTAGCTAATATAAGGCAAACACTATACTTTTATTCTTATTCATCCACTCAGCAATTATCAAGCACCTATTATATGCCATGAGAATACAGAAAAAAGAAATTGAGTTTATTTTAATTATTTTATTTTTTAAAAGATTTTATTTATTTATTCATGAGAGACAG